CCCCCCAAGATAATGCACTCCAGGGGCTCAAAATAACCCTACAACATAAAGCCCTTTAGAGAGTAGCAGCAACAGCATCAGGTAGAGGCCCTTCTTTTTGAGGGGAAACAGGGCAGGGTCAAAGGCAAAAGCAGAGGGAGCAAATCATTACTTTAGGAGGCCACTGCCACATTCGGGGGCCTTTTTTTTTAAAGCTTTTCTTCCCCCCTAAGCAACGGATAAAGGAAACAATCTCAAGGCATGAGTGGTTAACTGAATACCTTAAAAATAAAGAGACAATTTAAGGGCAGGCACTCTCCGTAAGTGTACTAGATCAGATCTGCGTTTAACAGTCGCTTCACTGGGCGTCTAAGTCCTACTTTACCCACTCCAAAGGCCGCATTCAGAGGCAAAATCACAACAGCGGAGGAGAGGCCGCCGCGAATAGGTTACTATGCAGAAAGGAAAAGCCTTGGGGGAAAACTAGATTTTGGAAGAGGAGGAGCCTGGAAAAGAAACGACGTGGATGCTCCCCATTTCCCAACAAAACGAAACAAAGCTAAACAAAGAAAGCCAAAGTATACGCGGGGCGGGGTGGGGGTGGGACGAGGGCCGCGGACTCCGGAGTTGCATCTATCGGGAGCGGCGTCGGACTAGGTAGGAGGCCGGCAGGGAATCCCGAGGGCGGGGCCCAGAGGGAAAAGGGACGCGAAGGGTTAAGGATGTGCACAGGGGCGTGAGGGGCCGCAGGGACAGACAACCAGAAAACAAAGCGAAAACAAAAAGCCGAAAAGGGCTGACCGAGAGAGTGCCCAGGGCGAATGTCAGTAGGACTCGGGGGCTGTGAGGGGTCCGACGGGACGAGCCAGATTAGCTTGGAAGGAAGGTAATATGCTTTCCCTAGCAGCCGGGGGCTGCGGCGGCTAGGACACGTCCCTCCTTTTCCCTGCTCTTTGCCGCCGCCGCCTCCCTGCCCCCCCTCCCGAAAGTCCCCGCAGGGTGGGGAAAAGATAAAGCAGAGCCCCAGAGTCTGGTGTCCCGAGTGGTTTACCTTGCGGGAGGCTGGAGAGGCTCCAGCGCCAGCTCCCCCCGCCGCCGGCTCTGCGTTCAGAGCGGGATGAGGCGACCTCCGGCCTCCTCCCCTTCGCCACTTCCCCTTTCCCCCGCCGGGGTGCCGTAGCTCTGCTGCCGCGGGTTCCTGNTGCTGCCGCGGGTTCCTGGTGCCGCGGCGGCGCTGCCTCCCCGCCCCCCTCCGCCTCCTCCCTCTGCCTCTTAGAGGCTCACTCTGGAGGCCGCCATCTTCGCTCGGGCTCTGAGCGATCGGACTCTCCCACGCCTGCGTCGCCCCGGTCCAGGCTGTCACGAGACTCGGTCAGCTGATTTCAACTCTTCC